TATTACCCTCCAAGAAACACAAATGACTTTGTGAATGCAAACATATTCACTAATCTATTGATGACAACAGTGGGCTCATCTATCTGTGGCTATTTCTCTATTTACTTTGTTCTCCTTTAAATACAGAGTGATCTAAAATTAAAGAAGGAAACAAATGTATAAGTAGAGCTATGAATATGTAATGTGTATGTAATTGTTTATTTGTATATGTTGTATGTATGGCATACACACAAACAATTCTGTTAGTGTTACTTCTTTGCTTTAACGTTTCCATTAGCTTTCTATTCGTTGGGATGAAGTCCAAGAATTCTACAGTGGCCCACAAGCACTTGGAATGACCTCCTTGCTGTACTCACATCCAAAACCTTGCACCATTCCTCCTCAGCTTACTTCTATTTTTCCAGCTGCCACTAGTTCTTTACTCCTCAACATCATATCAGACTTTTCACCTCTAACAGGCGATACACAATAAGCTTATTTCTTTTGCTTGGTAAAATCTTTGTTCTCTCTGGCTTAACTCCAGTTTCTCAATTGTAAAAAGTAAACTTTTTCTTTTACTAGAAGTAGCTTCTGGACTCTCTGCCTTTCCTGTGATACTCTTTTTAGGGTCAATCTTGTATTTTTCGTTTAATAACACACCCCACAATTTTGCAGTTTAAATACTTCTTTAAAATTTTTTTTTTTGGGATATGGTCTTGCTCTGTGCTCTGTCGCTGGGCTAAAGAACACTGGCAAAATCATCAGAACTTGCTGCAACCGTCAAACGTCCTGGTCTCAAATGATCCTCCTTGCCCTCAGCCTCCTAAGAAAGCCGGACTACAGGCTGTGCGAACTCACCATGCCCAAACTTAATTTTTTCTGATTTGTTTTGTAAGAGATTGGGGGTCCTCGCTCCTGCTCAGGCTGGTCCCTCGAACCGAACATGTAAGGCATCGTTCTAAGTGATCTTCACACCGACCTTCCAGCCTCCAGCCAATAAATGGCCAAAGCGATAAAAAATATACTGAAAACCAACTATTTTGTTCTTACTTATATGAAGTACCTTATTCTTAATCCTACCAAGACAAAAAGATCACTCATCAAAGGCTATAATGTATTCTCTTTTCCTATCATTGCTTACACATTTGCGACGGCTTTGGTTTCACTCTTTAGAAGAGAATGAGGGTCAGTATTCAGTATTATCAATACATTGATCCTCATACTACTGTCATTTCCCTGCCTATAGTACTATATAGAAACTCGCCGAGCCCATGTAAATGTGAGACTTTCAATGCGACTGTGCTTTGGGTGCTTCGCTGTACAAAATTCACTTTTATTGCTCTTGATATATGAGTCCATATCTTACACACAACCATTCAGTATATCACAATTTAACCTAGTGCATAAAATGAGAAAGCCATAGTAAAAGGTATCTTCTAGGAAACTCTATACTCATTACACACATAAAGCTTAACAATTCTTCGCGAATGAGATCTTCCCTTGGCTTTTAATATATCTACCTAGCTCTAATTTCTTCCTATACTATTATGATGAAGTAATATTCTGTCCTTTCTGCTAAATATGGAAAGGAGAGTAATCGTTAGATGATATAGCCATGACTATGTGGCTGACAAGGCATTGTGAATAGTCTTCACTTATATTTATAGAATGTTTCTCTAAAATCTTACATACCTATGAAAGTAAACTTCCTCCGATATTGGTTGGTAGGAATCACAGCATCTGAAAAAGATATCAAAGCTCACTTATACGTTACTGTGAAATAATCATCAGTGTAAAACTTTATTATCTTAAAAAAAGAATCATGGAACACTGAACTCTCTCAATCTATGAGGATGATTATTCTCACAGTTTGGCTAACAGGTAACTATACTATACAAGCCAAACTCTAACTGTCTGAGATTCATGCATAGAGACGCGCTAGAGATCATATTCATGAATTGCCTGGAATACTGAACTAGTCCAATATAGGACCCTTATAGCATTAAATCATTATCACGCACAAACTCTAACATACCATGCCACATCCCCGATTCACAGCTTCATATACACCAAGCTCACATAGCCTAAGGAAGGAGGGAGCATGTAACTTTCTGACAGCGTAGAAAAGGAAAAGCAGATCAGTCAACAATCTATATACAGACACAATACACACGCTAAGTTGTAATACATTATTATAATTTAAACGCTACAGCTCAAATCAAATGATCTAATCCTACTGCATACAAACAACATATACAAACTATGTCAGATCACAGAGCACTCATCACACACAATAATATCAATATCATGCGACAGAATAGATTGTACTCCACAAAAGATAGATCTACACCTACATTTATGAGAACCTGACCCGAAACTAATGGAAATATAAAAAAAAGGTAAGTGCCAAGAAGACAGTTAAAGATACAAAGCTCATACACAGAAGATGTGAAATATGGCGCTTCTACACAACTTAGTTTTACCATTTTCACAAATAAATATGACTTGGCACAAGAGGTCAGGAAGAAAATAATTTAAATGTTCGCTTTCTTATAAGACAAGTTCTGGATATTATCCACCGCTTGGTGTAGTCTTCCTTTCTTCTCAATCTTCCAACAGCTATTGTAACTGTGACCTGAATTCATAATCAAAGGGAATGGATATTTGTCAATGCCTGAGAGCCTCATCTAGGACCTCCATGGCTCACCTAACTTGGAAAGATGAACATTTTACACTTAGCTTCACCGAGTATCTACTAGCTTGACCTGTTGGATGCACTATGCATCCTAGTGATAGTACCCCCCACATTGAAACAGAGTATAGAACACTCGAGACCTCTCGGGCGCTAGTAAGTGGCCAGACTTGCTTAACAACTCTAAAAGCGCTGAACATCTGTAATAAATGACGTGACATTGACATATTACATTTTACCAAGGTATACTTCAGGGTTCCTTGAACAACTATGCACGCAACAAAAAAACACTTTAGGTACAAATAACACACAACAACAAAAAACTAAAAACACATTAAAAAAAAACAACCTAAGCTTACACTGCCACAAACAGGAAACACACATAAAAAATCCCTAATTGCTCCCCAACTGTGAAAAGTGGGTACACGACAAAGACTAATTCTAGATACAGCACAACAGAACTACTTACAATTTCCATTCTTATATTTCCAGGATAAACAAAGAACATAGTGATTAATTGAGACAAAAGAATGTTTTGGAGGTAAGAGTCAGGAAAATTCTTCACATATTTTTAAACAACGAGTATAGATGCTCAAGAACCACAAATAGACAGTTTTCTTTTTGTAATAAATATGAATCCTTTTGGTATTAATTTGTCAGCAACTGTCATTCATTTAGTTGTGCAAACAAACGAAAGATTTTTGAAGATTTCAATCTGAGAACATAGAGCTTGCTTATATGAATGATGACAGAACTTTTGCTAAGAAAAATTATTCAAAGATGATTTCACTTCGTTGCTAAGATGAAACTCGAAATGTAGATTACACACAACCATACAGCAAAATTACACGCAAACGAAATTCGGAGAAAGATTTAACTCCAAAATGTAATGTTTTGGGTGGGAATATTAGTAGGTTTTTTAATCTTATTTATATTTTTACAAAAACAATTTATTACTTAGATAATAAAAAGCAGTATTAAAAGCTGACTTTAAATCATGTAAGAGTATTACACCTGGAAAATGGTTTCAAATCTTAATTTTGTACTTAGAATTCTAGGCTGTATATACAAAACAATATATTGGCCACAAAAATGTGTGAAAGAAAAAAATATATTCAAAATTGTTTAAACTTAAAAAGTAACTAATCAATTTTGAGAAACCGACAAAAATATATTTACTAAGTATCTACTCTAAAAGCACAATGCTATTATTAACTGCTTTACATATGCTGTTTCCCGTATGACTTGTGAAGGTTTCCAGCCCATTAATACCAAAGCAACAAGACCTCAGGATGAAGTGATTTTCCTTCTAGGTGATCTGGTTAAGCTCCAGTAATCAATGCTATGGTCAGGATTTATACTCAAGTCTTTCTCCCTTTTTTCTCTAATTTCTTCACAGAGAAACATACAGATACTGTGATCCCTAATAGACTGCAGATATGAAACACAACCTAAAAGTCAGGCTTTTTCTCTAACTAAAGGGAAACTATGTCGTACATCCTTCCTGAAGAAATTGAATTTAAACAATACAAATGAAACAACTCCAGCTCAAAATCTCAAGTTGGTTTTCCCCAAGTCATTTTTCCAGAGATGTCAAGTTTTCTGCTACTGATTTGGTTCAGATGTGTGATGTGTATGATATTTATCCATCGAATGAGAAGAAGCAGATTCTGACTGGGGTTGATAACTCTGCCCAGGAGGCACATCCGGTGGTAGAGGGGAAGGAGGATTACTACAGAGAAAAAGAAGTAAGACTACTTTCAAATACATTCCAATGTCAATGTTGGAAGTTTGTGCCAAAAACAGAAAATGCTCAGCAAATATTCACATTTGAATTTGACTGAGACTCTAGCTACTTTTTGTCTGACTCTGGAGTATGAATTTATTCTATATCTACTACATGCTAATATTACCAATAATTTATTCTCCACCTAGGTTCTATTTTGAAGAAACTCTTTAAGCTGGATAAAGTCAGTAAGATGGGTTAAATTAATATATTTTTGATTCTTAGTTGTTAATTCAAGGATTAAGATAATGTTATCAGAAGCCTATTGTGTATTTCGACATAGGGAAAAGAAGAAATAAGAGAAGAATAGAAGTCTTACACCTATGATTATTTTGGATGAAAGAATAGAAAGAAAAATAAAACTTGACCTGGATATACATAGACATAACCAAATAGTAAAATGCATAAATAACTATTAGAAGTACAGATGTGGTCTTTCTCTTTGTATGCGTTTTCTACACATACAAAGAGAAATGTATGCGTTGTTCTACGTTTTCAATCATTTCTTCTTTCCCCATCTTCTATGTCTTTTGCACATCTTTTGTTTATCTTTTGCAAACTCTCTATCCTCTTTTCCCTCTTACCTTTACATTTCTGCTCCCTACTTTCCCACTGCATCATTACCTCAATAAGTCTCTTCTCTTTCTGGTTAAGTAGAATGATTGATCATGAAATATAAACAACTTTCTCAATTACTAGTAAACCTGCTCAAGAGGGAAGCAAGGCTCAGGCTGACTGGCTTGCGAGCTTATTGGTTTGATAACTAAAACTGTCAGTCACAACAGCTAGACATCCAATAGAGTCATCACCTATCTAACCACTGTGAAGTTCACACATAGACACATTACATTCTTAGAGAAATTTATGTTGCTGCTACTGTTACTAAAAATAGTCAGTTGCTTTCAGTGCTTCACACAATATGGACAATACCTGTTTTCAAATTCTGGTTTATTGGGGATTTTCTGAGGATAGTAAAACATGGTACAAATAGTATCTTCTTGACTCTTGGGTGCTTCTTGTTGACTCTGTGCCTGTGATACCATGTTGTTTAGTGAGCCTGTATGTAGAATGCCAACATTTTAATGATGAGATGGATTGGCCTTTCAAGATGGCTTATAATGCTGTACCTTTCATTGTCATTCATGGTACCCCCAGGAAGTTATTCTGCTCTCAGGGGAACTGCTCCAGAAGTATCCTTGCTTCTCCTGTAGAACCTCCACCTGGTGTGCTACCGGAAATTGATACTGCTCTTGTGGACCACTGAAATAATTTATTTTTTTATAGTATATCAATATAGTGATTAATTCAAGCTGTACTGGTTTCATCATGGATTGATCTCCTGGGTTATATGTAGCAACTTCTTTAGGAGTATTATCTTGTGTGTGTCACTTAACTCTTTGAGTATATTCCATAGTTATAATATATATGTAATTCAATTACTTTCTTTCCTCTCCTTTCCATTCTAGATTTCAAGAATTTGTTTTCTGAGCATAAATAGAAAAAGACATAAAGTAATGGTTACAAAAACTTTTTGTCTATTTCTTTCATTGAACCAAACAAGGAAAATCATTCTCATTCTGACTAGTGTGGATAAATGAGAGTTATTTGAGATTTTTAGCCTTTGTGTTTAACAATATAATCAACAGAGAAAGAGAGTTAACCGGTTACTGTCTTATTGTTAAGGAAGCTAAGGAATCAAATGCTATTGATATAACTACAAATGTGCATACTGACAGGTCCAGAAATCTATAAAGAAAGACTGCTTTGCCTTTCAACTTTAATGAGTCTTCACTACCAGCCGAATCGGTAACTCCCTGGATATCGAAAGGCAGGATTATCTGGGCAGAAAGCTTTAACCCTATTATTGGGGGAAGGTAAAGTTTTAGGAGGACATTAATAAGAACAGTCTTCGTAAGATGGCATTATAATAGACCTAGCATTTTAAGACTTCATTGATAGGATCTCAATCATTGACAGGAAAGAAGTGATGGACTCTTTTTGATGAGTATAGGATTGATATCAGTTTCTAGAAACAATTGGAAAATAATTAACAAAGCCTTTTTTTATACAGTACGTATGTCCTGACAGTGTATTAAAGTACAAGGAAATGAAACTCAGGTGGAAGAATTTTTTCTAGCAAAAAGAAGTTCTCCTCAGATTTCTGTAATAGTGAAAGCTAGAAATAACTCTGTAAATAATAGGAGAAGGCTGAAAATAAATTAAAAGATATAGCCATCCATAGGAACGCATTACCAGGTATTAAATTATTTCCGAAAGCATATTTAAGGGCCTTCCAGCAAAATACTCCCATGATAGAAACTTAAATTTTGAAATAGAAGATAAAGTGAACGTGCAGTTATTTATTCTGATTAAGTACGAATTATACCAATATTAAAGTGAATAATTTATATATGGAACTTCCTCTTAATGAGGCATAAATTAGTTTTTTCAGAATCAAATTCCAAATTTTGGTAGAGCTGTTGTTCAATAGTTAATTATTTATATGTTTTTAAATTATAAAGTTCACACTCCTGATCTTTTTATATGTGTTTCATTACAGACCCCCATTCACTCTCAGCACAAAGTACTTCCCAAACACACAGTAAGTTTCTTCTTCCCCCTCATGTGTGGGGCAAGGCCTTAGCTAGATGAAATGAAATGCCTGACCATAAAGA